AAGCCCGTCGGACTCTCCACCAACAGGGACTCCGACTAGGGTGTTCCGGGCGCAGCAGCGCTCCGATGGGTGAGAATGACTAGCGAATGACCTCTGTTGGATCGAAATGCTTTTTTATATCAGGTACCATCCAGACGGGCTCTGCTCTATCGTCGCCGCGGTGTTTGTTGCACAATTTGTATAATTATGTTGCAAGTATGATACACCCGGTATATTATAGAAAACAATGCTTTCGGTTGAGTTACATTAGTAGCGGCTTATTTCGGACTGGATTCCTCTTAGCAAAAGTCTAGTGACGATCAACTCTGAGACTTTCCCCTCGACTCGAACTGGATCCTATTTTGCGTCAACTTCTGCCACTCTAGTTCTTGAGTCTTTCGTTATTCGGGAACAATTGCGAGTTCTAGTAGATGGAGTGCCTCTGCATTACCTTCCGCATCCATGTTGTTGTAGGTCATGATCTCGTGCTGAGATTCCCATCAGCGAAAGTTTCGCTGCGGAACCCAATGTGTGCGGGTATGGAATCCAAACTGGGACAGCTTGCATATTTCCAATCCAAACCTGGACCAAACTACAAGGATGAAGCGAGTGCATGCCTCAAACACGTTCGAACATGATCGCAGCAAAGCACCAATAACCTCCCACTTCTTGTTCTCATCTCATTGACCTTCCACCCAGCGCAACACCCAAAAACTAGCAGTGGGTACTTGACACAATAATCTCTGAAGAAACTCTAGGAATCCTCAAGGGTATACTAGCACCAGCTTCTATACAGCTATAGAGGTTCAGCCAACTATGCTGTTGCGGTAGGGGATTTCCTCAGGTGCTTCACCATGTTGTCCAGTTCCCCTTGAGCATTTTTGCATCGCTTTGATATCGCCTCCTCTGATTTTTTCAGCTGTGGTATGACATTCTCTTGCAAGTGCTTTTCAGCCTTCGACATGTCGGTCGTGAGCTCAGCAGAATCAGATAGAATGAAACACTTCCCCACGGCGCGATACGTATCTGAAACGGAATACACAATAATACAAACCGATACAGTTTCGATCTATTAGATTCTAATAATTGACTAATGATTAAAATATCTTTGGGGCATTAAGAACATCAGAGTGCGATGCCACTGTCCCACACGCATCGGCGAGGCGTCTCACTGTTTCGAGTGATGTTAGGCTAGAAGAGGATTTCACTGCTGACTCAGCATTGCTGAGGATAACCTTACGTAATTGAGAGTCCTCCTTCAGCATGTTCTGGATGATGTCCCTCGCATTCCCTGTCTTAGCTTTTTCGACTTCCGCTGATCGGAGTTGCTGTCGGACTCCCGAATACTGATCGTTCAGTTCCTGAGGTCAGACAGGCGAGTCATCATGAACCTCAGTCGACTGTCAGTGGTTAGATTGAAGAGCCTTCGCAATACAAGTTCTATAAACGCTCCCTATGGAAAGCTGATAAGCTGCACAAGTACGGTGTCTAGGAAATTATCGCTGCGATGAATGAAACCTATATCGCAGTATATCCAGTAAGATCAGAAGTCCATAGGATACCACCGCCTCCTACGCGAGATATCCTATCCAACTTATCTACCTCCACTTTTCACCCAACTTGTTACATCCAATTCCTTCCGTCTATCGTATTGTACGAGAACGGACTACTACCTTAACTAGCCGTTGCTGTTCCATGGCTTCCTCAGGTGACACTTCATCACTTCTGCTATCACCTCCACTCACGAATGAGATCGACGAGCTAGACTGCTTCGAGGCTTTCTTCTCCCGGTATCTACAATTGTTGATTATCAATCGAAAAAGCTATACGGCATAGTCTGCCATATAACCTCTGCAACTGCGCTTCGGCGTCTGCCAGCATCTTCTCAAGATCTTTATTCCCGGGATTTGCACTAAGCCCCTCACGAGAGAGATCGATAGCTTGCTGCCAGAGTTTCTCGGATAAAGACGCTTTCGCTGCGCGCCAATAGGCTGAAATGATCGACACCTCCGAAAATCTTGCCAGAAGGTCACACATCACGTCATCTACCACATAATAAACCGCATCAATTCTCACTACCTTTAACATTGTGTTTATCAGCCTTTACAGCCTTCCGACAGTCATTGACAACCTTATTCCACTCTCTATTGCCCAAATAAACTTGCGCTCGGTTACCGTATAATGCAGAGGCCAACGCGTCCGATTTGCTCGCCTCAGCAGCCTCGATGCCCTGAAATGCAATGACCCGCTCTAGAATAGTATTGAAATGGCTTGAGCAGTGCACTAGCGGTGAGCCCCACGGAGAATGATAGTCATAATACGACAGAATTATCCATGGAATGAGAGAATACGCGAGAAGCTCATCCTCCCTAGAAGCCTTGTCAATTCAATCTAAACCAACCTGAGTGTAAAGAGCAAGTGCCGCATCACGCTTTCCTTCTTTCAATAGTTCATTGCCCCTTGTCTTGAGCCGCTCAGCATAGGTAGCGAGCTGAAAAAAGAAAAGATAGGAGTGATAGGATCCAATCCCCGAACTAATGAAAAGATAAGTCTCCAGTGATTAGTTCACTGCGAAATCCCCAATGTAGAGTTCGAACTTCCGAGGTCACACGAGGAAACAGTCAGTTACACAGTGCTACAGTTGGGGAGCGAATTCCCAACAGGCTGAAGGAGAAAGCACGAGACACTATATGTTATGACCACAATAGACACCATTCTCAAACACTGACTGAATATCATCTACGACTGTAAATACTACAGGAGGCCAACTCGCAATATCACAGCCGAGCCTGGACCGAACGCCCTACTACCTGCTTAAGCTTGTCCTCAGTGGACATATCATCTGCATCCACAGACTCTGCAGTAGGGGTAGCTTTTGAATCGGAATCCGCCATTATGTAAAAGTAAGACGAACTACGGCATCAAACCCTCAAGGACAGCAAAGCTCTCGACAAGAAGCGCCCCGGGGAAATTGCAACAATTGTCAACATCATGCTCGAAGACATTGAATTAAGACGCCGAACACGGGGCATGCTAGCCTACAGTGTATATCGTAGATTATACATCACATACAGTGTATGAGGTCTATGCTACGAAACTCCCCTGAAATGACATTCTTACCAAGATGATATTGACGTGACTTCGAGGCTGGCCAAGCGGTGAAGCAGCCGTCGAGGCCGCGGCACCTCCTCACCAGCAGATGCCGTGAAACCATCGCCTTTATGTAGACAAGCGTGGCTATACACCATGTATTACTCATCATAAAGAAAAGTTTCAATCGACACTGGCGTGACACACCGCCGCTTAGAGTGGAAAAAATGACCCCTTGCCTCCTTAAGCAGACTTGCACTCCCTTGGGCCTATTTCGGAGGTCTCTTTAAAAGAATTCTCCCCAAGTCAGTTTCCCTGAGTCAATCTCGCCAGGTTGGCAGCGGAACGAAGTGTGGAATGTTTCGCGAAACCCGTTTGTCGAGGAGGTTTCAACTTCTCATAAAACTCAAGGCTATCAAATCCCCAGAATAGGCTATGAGCTTTCTGAAGCTTAATCAGGCATTTTCCCTGGAGAAATGGGGTGTAGTTTGAAAAACTCTTCTTGCGATTCTCTGAGAAGGTCTTGGGAGCGGTCTAGACGAGATTCGGCGGTTTCGTGCGTGAGATGTTCAAGGTTACTCACTTGAAGAGATCTTGGAATGGGCTCCTACCGATAGCGCAAGCCAGTGGTTGCCAATTGCGATGAGGTTTACGACTCGGGTTAGACTTGATGACATTATACATCACATCAATATCACTGGCGCCAGAATGATACCTAGTTTCTTCTCAGAGACCGCCTTATGCCTCAGTACTCTGTGGCTGGACGCAGTGGAACCCATAACGCGTTGGAACGGCTACTCAGATTCTTTGCTTCATCTGCTTCGACACGATTGGCCAAGCTTGGAGCAATCGGTTTTATAGATGAATGAATAGATCGTAGATATGCACCTCGAGGCGATATCCGTGTCTTACGTATAGTCCTCAGGAGCATCTTTGATGAGGAGATCGACAGCCAACTGCTTCAGCGCGTGGACGGTCGGAGGTCTTGTGCATCGGCGTTACTGAAGGTTCTTGTTAGTTCTCTGTTGGGCCCTTTGATGCAGCGACATCGGATAACAAAGAACACCCGTTAGAAGACTCCACGATGTGCTCTTATTATCCTCGTAGCGAGGCCCATTACTCTCACCGAGTTCCGTTGTGCGCGGTTATGCGCCCAGTGCTCTGTGTGCCAGCAACCGATTCGGCGTGAGCGATGGCAGCGACATGTACATTGCAAGGCTGTATCATCATCGTCGTGTCTACCACACCTCCGTCGAATTCCCAGACTGCGGTCAGCAGATCCCCCAGGGTCGTCCAGGGCTATCGTTGTCACATCGGCGAGGTTTTTGCTCCCAACGACCCCATTTGTGTCGGTTTGTGAGTTGTCCATGCCAATAAAATGTGTGAACTCATAAGATGTCTCATGAGTTGCACGATTCACAATACTCGTGGGCCACGAATATCGGCCAGACTTTGCCGGAGGTGTGACCGATTAGTTCGTCTCAGAATCAATAAGACTTGCATACGAAGTTCGTATGCAAGTCTATGATTCTGAGACGTATGCGTGGACGTAATACGAATAATACAAAGCCCGTCCACGAATCTCACAGTCAATTTGCACATGACGGCAATTTTCGAGTTATCATTTCATCTCGCACTTGTACTGTTACAAAATGTGCATTGTGGTTTATCCTACTGGGGTGTACTTGAGTTAGTCGTCAATATACTTCTTGTATTCCGAAGACCTTAAGCCGGCCCCGAGGTTATGGCGGGATTGTGGTAGCGTCGCCCATACCACGACTCTGAAACGGTCGAGGCTGTGAACCGGCTGCAGGAGCATAGGGTTTGTACTCTGTTTGTTATGTACAACCCCATGCCAGTAGCAATGTTCGACCCACAGCATGCTGCAATGGACGAGACATCCAGATCGTCAACTGCCTCTTATGCATCGTAGAGGCGTCCTCTTCACTGTGCTGTCAGTACTACATGCACAGGTCCACTAGCACCGAGAGCGGCGTAGAAGGGTGGCAGAAGACTAGTGTCGCAGAGTACAATACGTAAGGAACATTTTAGGGAACTCCTAGTGAGTATTGGGCACCATGGTTCAGGTCATGGGTCCGTCGCGGCACTAACTTTTCCGATTCCACCTTTGTTGGTTCAACAGCTAGCAGTGAAGAGAATACCACACTCACTTGTGATGAGGATTCTTCTATCGTCAGTGTGTTCGCCGGCACGTGCAAGGAAGATACGCTTATTATTTTTGATTGGGACGACACCATCCTCCCCACCCGTTTCCTCACCGTTGAATGTGTAAGATGATCGCCGCTGCAGCAAGCTGGATCAAGACTCCTTTTGTCAGGGTTTGAGAGTTGACGGTCCAGGCCCAAACCCTGAGCTCCGGAAGACCCTAGATGCCTACGCACAGCTGGCCAATACTACCTTGCTCACAGCAATGGAATTAGGCAATCTGCTTTTCTCATTTTACTATACGCAGTTGTTGAAGACTTTCGTCAGGTACCGTCATCATAATTACTAACGCCGAAAGTGGTTGGTTGCCATTGACTTGTGCAAAGTTTTTGCCTTCCCTTTTGTCCACAGTGAATTCGATACACCACACCTCAGCCAGGAGTACTTATGAACCTCAGGTCAACATGCTTACCGTTGATACTGGTTATACTGGTTTTCAGGGCTTTGCATCAGCTTTTGACTGGAAGGACCAAGCATTCCGTCACTCGATCGTGTCACACTTCTCAGAGGTCGCACACGTCCCTGGGTGCGTTTTCTTAATTCCTACGGCTATGCTATGTCACCATTCGGCCGCTCTTTTCCAGGCGTCGTCGCTGCGTCATATCCCTCGGTGACTCTGCACATGAGCGGATGGCTGCGATATATGCTTGCCGTGAGTTTAACGAACAGTCCATGATAGATTCCTCATCACCCGCCGGTCTACTCTGCAAGAGCCTCAAATTCATGGAGCGCCCGGACCTAGAACATCTACGGAAGGTATGACTGGATCGATCTGCCTGATTATGATCTTGCTATATGTCATCAGGAACAATACCTCATACAAGATTGTTTAGCTCAAGTGGTCCGCTATGACCAAGATCTCGATTTATGTATTCAACCCCAGCACTGTGTTCCCTTCGACCAGACACCAGCCGCCGCTCTCGATCAACAGAGCATGTCGCCGGCAACTGCTGCCACTCATGGTGGCTGATACCTTCAATGCCTCTATACACTACTAATCAGACTGCAATATTTTTGTTTAAATTCGGGATATTCGACCCTCGCTATGGTATATGTTGACTGCTGCATATTGGCAACAACAACAACAACAAGCACCAAAAGACCGTACTGTCAAACGAAGCGACGTGTGATGTATCACCCTATCGATTGCTGCTTTTTCATGCACCGTGACCTCAGAATTATGCTTGTACCATTCCGGACAAGCATGGTCTTCCGAACTCCTGCGTTGTTGCGTTGAAGTTGCATTCAATCTAACATTCAGTCACTGACACTGTCGCCTATTGTCCCATGCCCTCTGGTGGAGTTACTGATGTCGTCTCTCGCGATAGACCCTGCAGTACCGCGCCAGTGCCAGCTCCTAACGCAATGGACATGTCACGCCAGCAGCAGCGGAAAAGAGACCTGGATCAACGGTGATTCACAACTCGCTTATTCATCACGAACGCTCTATGGGAAAGTTGTCATTTTTCGAGGTCGACCAAAACAGTTACTGAGGGCGATCTTCCACGTGGTGTTGATGCTAAATCGAGGAGATGCATGACAGAAGATGAAGAGTAGGTGTTGCTCATTGTGGGGGCGTACGTGCTCCGAGTCAGGATGCGTGGCAGACGAAACGTTAGCGCGGTGGATTCCACTTTCACCGGTTCAACAGCGAGCTGCGACAGCGACGAGGACTTTTCCATTGTGAGTGCCTCTGCCGGCACTTGCAAGGAAGATACGCTTATTATTTTCGATTGGGATGACACCATCCTCCCCACCCGTTTCCTCACCGTTGAATGTGTAAGAAAATCACTTAAATTGGGAGAGTACCATGATAACGATTCAGGGACTCCGAGTTGACGGCCCGGATCCTGATAACGAGCTCCGCAAAATACTAGATACTTACGCTCAGCTCGCTAATGCTACTTTATTGGCTGCGATGGAATTGGGTGAAACAAGATAGGATTGACATTCGAACAGACATACTGTTGCTTGAGGTACGGTTATGATCGTGACCAACGCCGAGACTGGCTGGTTACCTCTCACCTGCGCTAAGTTCCTCCCATCTATGATGCCAACTGTGAGCATGATTTATCACACCTCAGCTAGAAGCACCTTCGAGCCTCGGGTGATACACATGAGTTCCGCACAAGGTGACCATTTCTTTGTTTCTGCTCAGGGATTCGCTTCAGCTTTCGAATGGAAAGAGCAAGCCTTCCGCCATGCCATAGCTTCCCATTTCGCAGATGTGCCATCGTTGCCTGGGTGAGACGATCCATCATGCGACTACTGTAAGCCAAGGTTCTCTTCCAGGCGTCGTCGCTGCGTCATATCCCTCGGTGACTCCGCACATGAGCGGATGGCTGCGATATATGCTTGCCGTGAGTTTAATGAACAGTCCATGATAGATTCCTCATCACCAGCCGGTCTACTCTGCAAGAGCCTCAAATTCATGGAGCGCCCGGACCTAGAACATCTACGGAAGGTATGACTGGATCGATCTGCCTGATTATGATCTTGCTATATGTCATCAGGAACAATACCTAATACAAGATTGTTTAGCTCAAGTGGTCCGCTATGACCAAGATCTCGATTTATGTATTCAACCCCAGCAATGCCTAGTCAAGGACGATACGCACGGCAATCCGGGCGGCCGAATGCAGTCACAACATTACTAATTCAATAACAGTTACTCTGTGCAAACCATCGTTTTTGTGAGTGCGATAATGATCACAGTATACTACCTCGTGTACGAAACCCTCGATGCATTACGTCGCGAATCTTTGTATATTTGCTGCTATATGAACTCGTCGTGATAAATGCATGAGTGATGGCTATATGGGTGTGTTGAGTGTTATCAGTCTGTATTCGTAGTGCGATAACGGGGGCTTCCCACATCATACATTTTAGCCTGGAGTCACAGGTAAACTATCATCCAGAATGTATCAGCGACATTCATGCTCGGCAAGTAGACAAACAACTAGTTGTATATCTGCGAGGAACATATTGCGGATAACCAGTATATACATGCCAAGTCACTATATATTTAACAAGGAGATTGATTCTCTACGAGTTGGGTCAGCATTTAACCGTACTTGAACTTTGTCAATCATCACTCAATCCAGCGCTCAGACTGTATAGAAAACGAGGCATAAGGTGGACATTAGTATCCCTTCATATTCATCAACGGCCTGAGCTTGTGTATGACTTCCACCAAGTCTTCCTGATTCGTCATAACCTCGGTGAGGTCCTTATACGCTATTGGCGCCTCGTCGCGCACCTGGCAAACTCTATCAATGCGTTGAAGAGTGGATGGACTCTCTGTCGCTGATGGCATCAGCCTGATGCTCACAAGTTTGGCCGCGTTACTGTCCCATACGATCCCCTCCATCATTTCGTTGAGTTCGCCTACCCCAACCACGCGCTTGGCAGCATTACGGCTCAGCCTCCGACCTGCGCCATGAGAACCTGATCACCAACTCAATCATTCCGTTGAGAGAAGAAGATATTCTGACACGAGTTCCAAGCCATGCTTTCCCCTTTTCCTCGCGTAATGTAACTTCCTGTTCCCATGCTTCCTGGTATTATACCGAGCTGGTCCTGGCGAGCCTTGTGGAGAAGACAACATGCGTTCACCAGGCAGGTGGCGGGTATTGTAGTCATACTGAAGTTGCTCCTTTTCTCGTTATCCATAATTTATCTCGCACGATTTTCCCCGACTCGGGATCTCGATATGTGCAGTCCTCACATTCGCAGTAATTATGGTGGATGTTCACCAAGGTGCTCCAATCTGGCACCTTTCCTGTTAAATCACGCACGGCATCTATGAAGGAGAGGCCGTTTCTGAAATGACTGAGGTATTTCGCAATGATTACTAACGAAAGAATTCATCATGAATTTTCGGTTCTCCATCGCATAGGCTTGGCAGAAGTGCATATCTCGTAGATAGTCTTGACCAGCATCACTGGCGATCGCGAGATGGGCCAGGTTTTCCTTCGAAGTGCCTGTCTGTCTCGCAGCCAACCTGAACTATTGAGAATGCTAAGCATTTCCCCCAGAGGTCGACAAGGTTACCCGTCATAATATTGGGCAGTAATATTGCCGATATTCCGGCTGCCCGAATGTAGCATGAGCCATATGTCGTCTCCTTCGTCATGAAGCAGTTCGATAAAGTGGTTGCCACCACCAAGGGTACCAATCTGTTTCACGTGCCGCTCGGCAATCACCTGAGCGTAGCTGCCGGGAGGAGTTGTCCTCGATTGACATACTCCTCTGGTATGCGCAGTAGGCTTGTGCTCGTCCATCAGTCGTTTCATAGCCGCTCGCATTTCCGGTGATGCTTTCTCATGGCTATTAAAGCCTGCCAAGATACCGCTTAAACGAGAGCAGTACGTCCCAAGCCCACCAGTGGGGATTCTCTCAACCAATTGGCCGTGTAGCTTCATCAAAAAAGTGTCAGAAAGGCCAAGGCGAGTGAGACCTGGAGCCTGCTAGCAGTTGATGAAAAATAATAATGGACTTTAAATGAGAGCGGAGTCGGAGAAGCAGTGAACGCCCACCTTCACAGCGCACATGCCACAGCCTATGTCCACTCCAACGGCGTTCGGGCAGACGAAATCACGAGAAGCGAACACACTCCCTATCGTTGCGCCTGATAGTGACACTTGACATTCCTCGACACAAAGGTTCACCTTTGCCCAAGTGGACGTCGGGCATGGCTGCGATGTATCCGACGACCATCCGTGACCGAGAGAGATTGATCCTAGAAAGGCAGAAGGGACTTTGCACGATAGATGTCTGTAGTTGTCTGAGGTCGATGAAGGCGCCTCCTCACAGCTGTTGCATCGTCTGCTCATCGACATCATCGGTATAGAGGTGGATGGGCGTACCCCGGGATGGTTGGATGACTTTGGGGAACTTAGATGTGGCCGGAGCTAGAATCGCGCGGGAACATAAAATCATATATCGTAAAACAACAGGTCTATGCACGGAAGTATCCCACAACAATGTAGCAACGGTTACTGAACAACGCCCCGGATCGAAGCTATCGATAGGAGAATCTGAAAACGAAAATGAAGCGAGCCGTCTACATACTGCTACTTGGCTGACGGAGGAAATTGAGCAACACAGCACAAGGATGGATTAGAAACATGGGATATGACGACTCTGATCATGCCAATCTGTGAGACCGATCATCGTTCTCCCCTGGGCCTGACCTACTGGTGATCGATAGGACACATGACGATGTCTACACTAATGCTGTCAGCTCTGTATTCCCGATGGTGGTCCGTAATCAGCCAGGTTGGTAACTCCCAACAGTTACACACTTTCACTCCCCTTCCCTCCTCCATCGACCCCATCAGCCGATTCAGCTGGTCCACCCCACCAGAAATCAACACGTGCTCCCCCGTCTCAAATGCGATCCACAGCCCCTCGCCAAGCACGAATGAGGTGACCCGTCCTTGAACGTCTACCCACTCGCGGTCAACGTTCATCAGACGGCTCGAGAATTTCCAACCTCCAGGGAGGGTCAAACACGCCTCTGCATCGCGCTTCCTATTGAACTTGCGCCCAGGTTGCAGCCCTTGCCAACATAGCTGACATCCAATAGGTAGTCCGAACTCTCGTCGCGAACCAGCTAACTGATCCTGGTCAACTACGACCAACCCCACCTTTGCCCTAGTCGCGGCTTGTGGCTTGACAATCGCGCGGACTTGTACTTTAACGGAGACCACCTCATCTCCGACCATGACGTCGTCAGGACATGTACTGCTAGCGCCGGTGACGCTGTGACCAGCGTGGTCGAGGCCAACATACAGGAGGGGGAATCTTCGCACAACTACGAATTCAACCATCTCATCGGGGCATTCAATGGGGAGACCGGCCTCCAGAGCGTCCAAGTCGCTGGCAGTGATTTCTTCCTCAACACAGCCGTCAACAGGCTTGACATCGTTCAGCTGGTCAAACACGTCGAGCCCACGCTTCTTTTTCACGAGTGGTCGTGGTACCGCATCGAGAGTCTTCAAGTCAACTCCCTCTAATGCTGCGTCAGCATCAACCTTCATGCCAGAGTCGCTTAACGGCGGCTTTGGACGGAGCAACGGTGCTTCAAAAGTAAGAAGGCTATCCCTCATCGGCCGCTTCTGACATCACAGACGGAGAAATCTTGCCGGACTAACGCGTAGTCGACACGGCTCACGTTGGTGGGTTTGTAAGTAGTCTCAGAGGCGTCTTCGCCCAGCATTCGAGCTGCCTTGGATAGTGCCGCTTGCGACACCGGTTCCAGCGACTTGCCTGCTGCAGTCAACAACAGTGGGAATTCCCCAGGTTTAACAGACATTTCGAATGCGGATAAGCTTTCCCTTTACCGACTAGGACTCCTTCCATTCACTTGCATAATAATCGCTCCGTTGTTCAGCCGATTTCGCGTTGAACACTTTCATAATGGGAATCGCACTCTACTACTGAGCTACTCTGATAAGGAGGATTTCCCTGTCAGATGCAGTTGACGAGGTAACATTTTTCAGGTGTAGATTCTCATCCGGAATTGAAGTTCCGTGCCCACCGACCATTGCTCGGTAAAGCCGAACCATCCCTTTGACTACAAACTCAGCACGCCTCTTATGGAAGAAAAACACATTCTCGCAGTGATAAAATTATTTGATATAAGCCTCGATAGTCTCGAGCGTTATTCGACAGCAACAACTCATCCTTTGACCACTGCGATGGGGCGCATCTTAACGACCTTGCTGGAGATTCCTGCTTGATGGCATGTATTCACGACCGCAGTGACATCCTTGTACGACTCTGGTGCCTCTTCTACGATCAGTTTCGGTGAGGCTACACGCATGCTCACACCCTAAAGTCGAGTAGTGTCAAACTAGGACATGTAAATAACGCTCACTCTATCGGCCAGCTCTGATGTGACGTGATCATAGTCGAGCTTGCGACGACTCCCGCTTCGGCTAAGGACTCTGCCAGCACCATGGCATGTACTGGAAAATGTCTCTTTCTGAAACACGTCAGCCGGTCTAGTCGATTCGAGCCAGACCACCTCACCTCTCCTGTATGAGTACCAACAAGCACGTACGAACATGTACCCATGGAGCCGCCGATCAGGACTGGCTCGCCGATACTCTGAGATGATTGAATACACCCTCAGGTTCTCAATCATAAATGTGAGGTACTTGATAGTCGCTAGCCACCAAGGGATGATTAGGCGGGAAGGCCCGAGTCGCCCCCTTCCGATGGATCAGCAGCTGCTTCACTACTCCATCTACCAACTGTGGGGAGAATGAACAGCTTCTAAAAATACAACTGTCCACTCACGTGTTCCTCCAACTTCGCTGTGTTGTGAGAAATATCATATACGACATGCATGTCGAGATCATCAGCATCCTGCTTGAAAACCTATTCACGATTGGTTACCACAACAAGCGTCCATCGGCAGGACACACCTTGCTGAAGGCTTGCCTAGCCATGAATGTGATGGTACTGCGATTGACCCAGGCAAAGTTGGCCGCGGCAGCCATTGATCTGAGGTACAGCTGACCCTCCTCGGAGTGGATAGGAGCACATGACAGCTGAGGGTCGTTGAGATGAATCGGATTCTGAAAAATCATGACTATAAGCGCGGCCTCATTGTCGTCACACCTTCCTGCTCATCGCTGCCTTGCACATGAGCTGTAGGGCGTCCGTGGCGACTTGATGGCCGAGGCCTCGACTGCCACTATGCATCATCAAGCACACCTACAACCACAGAATTAACACCATTTCTGTGAAGGGATGATGACACCTCACCTGCCCTGGGCGATCCAAGCCTAGCTGCTTCGCGGCATACTTGTCGTATATCTCATCGACAACCTGCATGGCCATGGCGCTCTCTATCGAGCCCGGTACTTGGCGACTCACCTGCACTTCGGCGTAGTGATTGCCAGCTCCCAGCGTGCCCAGCTGTGGTACACCGCGTATCATCGCCCTTCTAGAGACCTGCGAACAGCTACCATAGTACTCACCAGCACATTAGATGGTACCTCGGTGGCGTTGGCGTTCAGGAGCCGTCCCTGCTCCTCACAGTGGTACTTATCCTCCACCCAGCTATACCCTTCTCGGACCGACCAGTCCATTCCGTATTGCTACACAGACAAGTCGATATAACACATTTCGCACTGCAGTGTATCACTAGAGCCTCTCTGAGTGTGTCTTGATTCACCGGTACGACCCCTTCAGAGCCAACTCCAACAGGTATGCAATCGTACAGCGCTTGCACAAGCTGCTCCTTCACCGGTTCCACGTCGCTCAAGGTGAGGTTGGTCCTGAGGAAAATTCAGCTGACGAGGATACGGAACCCCTCCTGCCCAGCGATATGGTAAACACAGCAGAACACCCATTACCTCAATAACCTCACACCACAGTTGATGTCAAAGCCAACCCCACCCGGTGACACGACGGCACAGGGGTCAGATGCGTCAACTGAGAAGAGGTTATGCTGGGAGGCCACTCTAAGAGAGGAGGAGTACATGCCGCGACTGAGCCAACGGCAAAGCCGTAACCGCTATGGATGTCGGGAAGGCCAATAGCGTTGCCGACGATACCTACCACGAGCCTACTTCACAGGAGGGGGCGATGGGAGCCTCTACCTGGCAAGGATGCGACATTCCCTAGCTGCTTCAGAGCAGGTAAGAATCCTGCCTCCCCAGCCGGTCGTAATGAATACCGCCTAAGTAGTCAACGGCAGATAAAACCACGGAGAAGGCACATTCACATTCACTAAGTCGACCACAACGAGGATAGCCTCCATCGCGCCCAGCAGTATTACTGTAGCTCCTCCATCACCGCTGGCATGATTTTCTCATTGGCGTAGAACTTCACGGGTACATTCATGTTCTCTACAAATCCCTTGTCTATGTGCCACCTGGGCGACTCCATCTTAGATATGAACTTCTTATCCTCCTCGAAAGGTCTGCGTACCACCGCCGTTGACATTGTTGTTGAACAACCACTTCCTCTTCTCTAACAAACTGCAACCGTCACACCTGGTGTCACCACTGATATTTTTTCGTCAACACAACGAGCCCATTGTAGTTTACAAAAAATCATCCTCCATAACCGTGTGGTGCCCACGCTTGCCACCCTCCTGCTGGTCCTAGTCTATGATGAGTACACCCGACAAGCTGTTCTCACAATAGCCTTGCAAACTAAACATGTGTCGAGGACCTCCGCAGCCTCCGACCGTATTTCACCATAACACTCCCGACACAATACCATGTGCCCACAGGGGACCAGCACAACTTCCGCTCTTCGTTGGAGACAAATGACACAACGTCCCCCCTTCCTAGTTGTTGCAGAGGAGCCTTCCTCATCAGAGCTAGTAAGCCGTTGCTGTTCCCTCTCTCCTGTAGTAGCATCACCACTCCAGCCCTCGACATCGAGCAAGCTCGCTATGAATCGACCGCCATGGACGTGGGCCAACGGTCGCCTCATCAGGTTGTATATAACCATACGGGACTTGGCTTCCCATTTTTGACACTTCACACGGCTGCTACGGGCATTGCTAGGTTCGCATTCGATTTGAGGCAAGTAGCCAGGTTTCATACCTGCCCATCGGCGGACCACTCGGTAGCCCCAGTCAGCATATCGCTCCTGCACCTCAGAGGACGCCCCCTTCCACCAGAAGAAATACCCAAGTATTACCACCACCGGCATCGAGGCTTGAGCTAGCAGCAACAAGCCGTCCCAGGCTAGAGACAAGTAGAATAGCAGGTCCTGAACAGGAGGGTCGATACAAACTGGAGGAAGTGAGGGAGTTGTGGTACTATTGCGAGTAATGTGGGGAACATAAAAACGTTCAACTACGCATTTTGGTGGCACTAAAGGAACGAGGATCTTTCACACCTTGAGCAGAATCTGCTCAAGGTTGCGTGGAAATTTCTCATAATGTGATGAGGACGATTCTGAGCTGGAGTGGAGAAACTAGCTGAATCTCCTCACACCGATAGTGTGGGAGGAAATGACATGACTACCTGTAAAGGATCCGGTAAGAAGGTAAAGATGGCGCATCTAACCGCGCACTCCCTTGCCGTCCAGTCCAACTCTTGATAGAGCTCCCCCATAGACCTGATCCTGGATAAGCTGATTATCCATATAAAGTCATGGACGGCTACTGTCATAATAGAATACAGCATCACTACTGCCAGCAGTGCATTGGTGATAAAGAGAGGGAAGACGTACGGCAGCAGCTGGAAGTGTGGGGCGAGCAGTACCCCGAGCCAGTACCAAGCCGGATGGAATGAAGTCTCGGGTATCGTCCAGTATGGGGACACTTCTAGTAGTGGCAATATGGTCTCCTCGTATTCGAACAGAAAGAGGTAAATCAAATGACTTCGCAAACAGGGCAAGAGGTAGATCAATCTCAGGATCTTCCGTCGGCCCGGACCAGTCAGCCAACCGCTGGTCCCGTTAATGTACCACAGTTCGATACCGTGGGACTGCAGAGCGTCTGAGATGAGCTGATATACAGGAGAATAGTGATGGTCCTGGAAACCATATAGCTCAACAGCACCGCCTGAGGCGAAGGCGTAGGCTGGATCGACTAGAGTGGGGTAGAGGAGAAGGAATGTGATCCCACATAGAGAGGTCATGCACCATAACACTGTTGAAGAGACCGCAAATTATTAACACTGAGAAACCACAAGAACGAACAATGCTAGAAACGGAGACGTGGTTTACAGTATCTCACCTGGTTGTCGTTACCATCAATTTTCCACACACTCTACTCAACTGACCGCAAATGGCTTTTCGAGTTCATAAAGGAGACGCCCCATATCATCACAGGCCGTTCTCTCAACTACCATCGCGGTCGAGTGTAGCCCTCATACACACCTCCCTCTACCGCAGCTAAAGTCGGTGCTCAAGCCCTTCAAGACAACAGGCGTTGGTCTCGAGTGTTATTCGAGCAGCGTGTGGGACCTCGTCGACAACGACCGTGAGTTCCTTCCTGTTGTGATTACAGAACTGCCTGAGATGGTAGCAGTCACCTGCACACCGGCCTAGTAAGCTTACGATAGCTTCGTGCTACTGTCCTCAGTAACAGCCGCAATGGCCAGCAGGAGCTGGTACGTCGGTGGTATTCCTGTTCTCTCCAGGCAGTATCATCAACTACTGCCAGTTTATACACCGTTCCTCCTCTACCAAATGTGATCGTCGACGTTGATCCCTCCTTTGCTGCCTTGATACGCGAAACACCCGCTGATTCGACACTCTCCCGACCGACCGATGATAACCCGCGCCCTGAATGCTGGTGTTACTTGTCTGCGGGTGTGTGGCAATTCACTCATACGCAAGTTGAGTTCCCCAGGTGACCCCTCGAAGACACCTCACCCAAAGAGTACTGTGGACAACGCGACTCCAGAATGGTCGAAACTGTCCTCTGCAAGGCGAGCAAAAAGGCAAACGACAGCATTTTGCATTATTCAGACTAGCCATTCATAACAAGTAAACAGATTACAAAGTCATCCAGGACATAGTTCTTCCCAACAACAGCTAACAGGACTGAGCATTTTGAGCTCGAGCACCATAGTAGACACTGAGGTAGTTTAATAAGATCCATCCCAACGGGAGAGGGCTGAACACGTAGACAGAGAGGTTACTCCCGTTTTGGAAGAAGATGATCATGATGACGACGACGACGACGAACGACCAGATATAATACCACCCGACTATCACGCTCCCCTGTTTAACAAACGGTTCAAATCGAAACAGCTGAGGCAATTCTACTGTAGAATAGGTATGACTCTGGTCGAAAATCCGAAAATAATGCAATTGTATGGTACAAAAAATGCGATTTTACCACGAACAATGATATGGTCGACAATGTATCTTCTGAATACAAAAGGACTTGAGAAATGTTGATATGATGTTAAGTAAGAGTTTTCTCAAATGAACATAGCTATAGGGGGACATAGAGGACGTAGAGAGCATGATACATAGTTCTACTCTGAGCCGCTTGTTAGAACATGGTTCTTGTTTAGAAGTGATGATATTCCAGAGGACGCCCACAGGTCAAAAGCGGCAGAGTTGTATCCGGTAGAAGGATCAGCATGAAAGTCACCAAACGAGTCGACCGTACAAGTACCACACGATGTACCATTCAAGTCGAATACAGATTTATCATTTGATCCAACAAGCGGCAGATCTGGGATGTTCGACACACCATCATCACCACCACGAGAAGAAGAAGAAGTAGGAGCATAGTGCATTTGCGGAGTTACCGAATCAGATGAAAATTTCCTGGTGGCTTCCCCAAATGCATTGTTGGTATGTGCTTGAACATACATCTCGGGCTTCAGACCTGTTACCATCGCCTCGTGCGGCGGCGAACCCTCACCAGTGGTGTTGTTCTCGTATTTAGCAAGGCGTCTACGGAGCTCATTACGTTCCATGAGAATGTCGGCCAACTGTTTCCTTGCCACCTCCAAAGCCGTCCGAGTCGCCCTAAGCTGTGTCTCGTAGGCCGTGGACTGTAGCTTCCGCTTCTGTCGAACCCTGTACGCCGACTCCCTGTTCAACTGCCGCTTCCGAGCACGCTTTAGAGCCACGAGTTGCTCTCGTGGCATATTAGAATCGTATACAATACGTCCTCGCTTTCCTGGGAAATCATGATACTCCCACGAAAGACACTCTCCTCGAGTCAACATTCCAGGTAGTGAAGCCACGGAAGATCCCGACGAGCCAGCTGTCAGGGAGGAAACCATGCTACTACTACTATCGCCACCAACAATGGGGAAAGATGAGTCGTAAGACATAGCAAGTCAAAAACACTAGAAGGATGTGAACACGTATCAGGTTTACAACAACAATACGAGTGGCGCCATTCTAATCGATATCGGCGTGTAAAAGCTCAGAGCAGTATGTTTCAGAGGACCAGTGGCGTTGACTCAGTTTTGTGCAGAAGCACTGAGCGTAAGACTAGTAGTGCAGTAGCGTAGGGCCCTGAATGGCCTTGAGTCGGGCGGCCTATGTGTTCGAGCGAAGACTGGGATGA